TATAATTGGACAATTAACTCCAATATGCAAATGAACCAGAACTTGTAAAAGTGTGAGATCCTCTGACCAGCTGTCCATTTTTGTGACCATTTTGGTTCATCTTGGGTGTAGCCCTGGTTGGGTTCTTGTACTGCCCAAAGTGGATCCATTGAGGCCTTTTAATAAATACCTACTTTATTCTTTAATTCCGTCCAGCTCTGTTCTAGGTCAGCTTTCACAAGGCATAAGTGGGATTGGGTGTTTTTATGTTTATGCTGCTGAAAGCTACAGTAATACCTAAATGTAAAGAAATCTAAAGAGAATCAGCATCTGCCAAAGCTAGGGAGCAATGGCAATGACTAGGTTCTCTGCTACTTGCCAGAAACTGCAAATTCCTGCCAACTGCAACAGCAGAGAGGAGAGAAATGGAGCAGGAAGGACATGGCAGGCACAGAGACTCTGTCCTTGCTCAGCCCAACGCCTCCAATAACTTTTGGTCGTGGATAGCTGCCCTCCTGCATAAGGGCCTCTTGCTTGAGTTTTTTCTGAAACTCAAGCAGCTCTGCAAATGGGTGAAACACCTGGCTGTGGGACCTTCCAGAGGCTAGTAAGGTCTTGTGAATATGGATATCACTGGACATTCTGCCTGGAGAAAATGGTAGGACCACAGAAGTAGGTAAGATCAAATATTATTTTCCTCCTCTGGTCTTTTGCTTCAGACCTTTCTGCTCCATCTAAGTGTGGTATGACTACAGAAATGCATTTTATATAGAGGAAAAATATAGAGGAAAATGCTGCAGGATTTTGAAGGAGAAGAGAAACTGGCAATACTTTAAATTATACTATTGCAGTATTAACTGTTCCAACCAGTTGCAAATTATACCATTGACCTATTACATAAATGGCAGCTCAAGTCAATTCAGTTTGTGTTCTTCAAATTTGCTTTCTGCTTCTTAAGCCTTTTCCTCCCATTGCACTTTATGATTTGTGTACTAAAAAAATAAAAGCTGACCAAGTGATCCAGGCAGTGGTGGATCTCTGCAGAAGTGCCAAACACGCTACAGTGCATCCAGACAAACCCAGGTTCATCTGCCTGAACTAAGGGGGAAGGAGAGGATTGGACTGATGACAGAATGATGTTGATCGGGGTCATGAAAAATCCTGATGAAAAATCAGAAAAAGGCGTGCTACTGAAGGTTGATTCCAGCCTCTGAAATTACCTGGGGAGCCAGGGAAAGGGTGAGGAAAGAATGGAGTCTGTGACAGGAATGGTGGTGACCAGGCTTGTGTGTCAGCTGAGACTTGTAAAAGAATCCTGGTCATTCTCAGCTGTTTGGATTGCTTCCTGAAGGCATGGATGTACGTAGTCTTCAGGGCAGGCAACATGGTTGTTCCCATGTTTAGTCCATGAGAACTGCTGGACTAAGACATCCTGCTAAGACAGGATGAAGAAAAAAAAATGCTGCAGGTGAAAGTCATTTGGTTTGTTTGCAGATTTGCTCTGTGTATTTATTCTCTGTAGGTGTGAATATTCACAGTTCTCTCGTGGCAATAAAAGCACACTTCTATTCTCCCATGGAGTTACCAAATGTATTTTTAGATTATTAACTTATTACAATACTCCCAGCTCTGAGAAATCAAGAGTCTGGCTGAGATGCACCCTCTGTTCATAGCTGATGGAGTGCTGTGTCCTCCAATCCAAAAATAATCTGACATGCCACCCTCCCATGCACACAGGAATGTAACCTGGTGTTTTTCACACTGCTGACTGTTTGTTGCTGGCAGTACTGAAGGTGTCTGTTCCTTCAGGCAATGGGGCATTGTGGGGCTGCCGTTGTGTATCTTGTACCTCAACCCCCATTTTTCCAATAAGTCTTCCTACCCCTTCCTTCTTTCCCCTCACTTCTTCTGCACAAGACCTCTTTCGGCCCTGTTTTTCTTTACCTTGCTGGTTAATGTATGACATACAATGACCATTATGTTCCATACTTACCTCTGGCTACCCACCTCATTGGGAAAACTAGGAACCAGGCTGACAGTGGTGTTCTGTATCTTCTGACACGGGTGATTTATTCCCTTTCCTGCTCACTGCCCTGGTATCTTAGTTTTTCACATTCCTTACAACAGGGACTCATGCCAAGCAAATGTTCATTGGGACCAATGACCTAAAACTAGCTCCTAAATGAATCCTCCTCCTCCCAAACCTTGGCAGCCCTGCCCTCCTTGGCAACTGGGGAAATCCCCTGCAACGTGTGGTATGCTGGGAACCTCCTGCAAGAGCTCTCCCTGCAATCTCAGGCATCTTTAGGAGATCCTGCTTTGGGAGGAGTGGATTATGATGGCCGAGGGTTGATCCTCAATAGGAAAAAAGGTGAGGTGAGAGTGTTTCTGACTTACTTCCAAGGTAAAATTACATCACAGGCAAGGTCATGTGCAGTTCTTGCATGATCACCAGTTGAGATAAACCCTGCAAGAGAGACAAGTGTTGAGTAGTGAGCTTATCTGGCTACCCAGGGCTGTTGCTAACTGTGGGCCAATGCAGGACTTCTCTGTTTTTCCCAAAACAATGCTCACCTTCAGCAGGGTACTGTGGCTGGCACAGAGGCTGGAGTCTGTAAATCCAAGCCACCCTGTAAATAACCAGCCCAGTCCTTTTATACTGTCTGACCCTTGATATTTAAAGTAAATTATCTCACAGTGGAAAAAAAAAAAAAAAAAAAAAAAAAAAAAAAAGAGCAAAGCAGTTTGTGAGCACTATTTTTTTCTGATTTCTTCTTCCTGATCCGTGTGAAGGAAGAAGAAAAGAAAATGTTACCTGATATTCCTCTGACTGGTTCAATTTAATCTCATGGCTGTTGGGTGTTGGGTTTCTTTTTTCTTTTTGGGTTTCACTTATCTAGAAAATTCCTCTGTTGAATAATCATCATGTGTGTTATTCTCCTTTCTCCAGTTCTGGTTGTTCCCATGTTTTTGTGCCTTGTGGTTCTTTCTTAAGCAGCTACAAAGTTTTTTTTTTGAAGTCATTTCCTCTCACTGAATTCAAATAATTCCTGGTCTTTTCAGATAAGGAATTTAAATGACTGAGAAATGTACCCTCTGCAGCAGATGTGCTATGGAAGAAAACAGGTCCCATTTTAAGATGGATCTGGACCCAAAATGCAAACATAATTCCTAGGAGTTGTCTAGGTTTGCAAAATGTAGCTCATCTTACACTGCAGTTTGCTAATAAGACATATGAAAATATGTTTAATTATGGAGTGAGGCAAAAACATTCAAGTTTTGACACTCACACTGTGTCTAACTTTTGAGGGCATCAGGACTTGGGCAGGTCTGAGCTTTGCAGATCCCATTCATTTCTAATCCTTAACACTGGAACTGTTCATCCCTTACCCTTGTGGCGAGGCACGTTCTTTGAATAGTTTATCCTGTCCAAATGGAAAATGAACTCAGAACTCTCACTGCCTTTCTCTATCTTGGCTGTTATTATTCTGTTTTTTGTTGGTGGTGGTGCCTTGTGCTAGTCTCCCTTTCCTGCACTGCCGGCCTCCCCTTTGCTGCCAGCTGAGCTTTAGCCCCATCCAGTGGGATCCCAGTGGGATGTCCTGCTGCCCAGAGCTGCTGGACTGCTGTGTTGCAGTGGGGATGCACGAGACACCAGTGTCAAATGCTCCTTGGTGCTGGGTAAGGTTGATTCCTGGTTAACAGCCAGGTTGGGAACTTGCTTAATCCTGGTTTTGGTTTGCTGAAAGTATCCAAAATGTTGTAGCTGTGGCTTCCAATACAACCTACGCAGGGCATTGCCCTGAGTCAGGCAGGCAAAAGAAACTGGCTGAAAGAGTGTTCAAGCACTGCCATGTGTTTAAGCACCCTGATTCAGTGCACAGTGCGAACTGCAGCAGGAGCAGGTCTGCAGTGTCCTTTTGGCCTAATTTTCATAACCATGGGAATGCTGTGGGGCACTCTGAGATTCTCCCCTTGCCTTATGGCCAAGTCATTGCGAGACCTTGTGGCACAAAGAATGGGAAAATACTGGTTCTCATACAGCACTGATAATTGGCTCTGGCTAACAACAATTCCAGAGTTCAACAAACATGGTTTTCTCTCTCAATTTGTATGCCAGTTGCCATGGTAAGCAGGAAGCACACCCCAGGCATTTTCCTAAAGGGAAACTGAAGTAATGGAGGAGGTAGGAATGGGAGTCAAGCCCTGAGTTCAGCTGCTGAGTAGGAAAAAAAGTATTTCATTTAACCTGATGATTCATCTGCCTTTCAGAGAGAACAGTGATCAAGCTGCATTGCAGATACATCCACTGAAGCTACAAGCACAAAACACCCCTCTTTTTTTTCCTAACTTTGATCCCAGGATGGAATAAGGGACACATAATAACAATATTCATTTCCACGATACAACTCAGAGATTGGCTCAATGACAGCCAAGGAACTAAATTAATAATTTGTTTAAGTTCTTGCTTGTCCTTTACAAATCAACAGAAGTGCATACATGGTGCACCAGCAGCTTTCATAGTAAGTTCTTCTGTTCCAGCCTGGCTTCTGCTGTACAAGAACTGGGATCACAAAGTTTTTTCATACTCTACTCTGTGTTGCTCTGCATTATCACAGGCAAGGCAGAATTCTGCTGGAGATGTGCTAAATAGGAGGACATGGTTGCACATCACTGAAACTTCAGCCTGGTAGAACTAGCAATGGTAAAAGAAAAGATTATTTTACCCTTACAATTTTTAAAGCATTTCAGATACCAGTAACTACAGAAATCTCCAAGCTCTCATTTCATTTTCAGAGCTGCAGAGCAACTGCAGCTCCCCTACTCTCCAATCAGAAAAGTGTGTGGTCAGGGCCTAACCTTCAGTCCCCACCAGCAAAGCCCACACAAACACAGATCAGTGCCCAGGCCACTCACAAAATAAAAGAGGGGCTCAAATTCCATGTCAGAGGATGACAAAAGCATTTGCACTGTATTCATAAACCAAACCCAGAAAAAAAATGAGATGTTCCACACATCACTAGGGCACAGATCTGTTTTTATAAAAACTCCAGTTTAATCTCATGGCTGAGACCTGGCAAAACATCTTTCTTTTGTGGCTGTTGTTTTCTTTCTTCCTTTCTTTTTTTTTTAACAATCACGCACAGAGGCAGGCAAGTCCACACAGAGAAAAAAGCTTAACAAAACGGCAATTCATCAGAGCTAGCAGGAAAAATAATCACAAAACCAGGGCCAGTGGGATGGAGACAGTCCTCTTCATAGTGTCCAGCTTCCAGCCCTTTTCTTGACCTGGCAGCAAATATATTCAAAGGAGACTAGTGTCTGCAAGCACAAGATCCAAGGTCTGGACTGCTCTCTGGAGCCCTCAGAAAGTTCTTGCCTTCTGCCATCCATCCTTTCTAGGGCTGTTCAAGTCCTACTCCATCTCCAGTCAAAGTCAATGGGAAGTTTTCCATTCCTTGCTTGGAGCAGAATTAGTTATCACCAGTAAGCCTTTACATCAGTTAGGAGCAAGCAAAGGTTAAACAGAACCGGGAGCAGCTGCAGCTTCTTCCCCATCCCTAGAGATTTTTATTCTTTTTTTTTTTTCCAGAGATGGAGAGAAGCAAAAAGGACAACTGAAAAACCTGGGCATGCCTGAAGGTTGTATATGCTTCAGTAGATTGTTTGCATTTTCAAGGCCTGGGGAGAAGCTTGTGGTGGAAAGCTAAATCAGCCCTTGAACTCTGGTCTCCCCTGGTCTTGTCCCCACTTTCCCAGGACATGATCCTTCTCAGCAAGGCACATTCAGGCCTCTGCCCACCACAGATTAACCAGAACTAATTAGCTACTCTGTGGGCAAAAAGCCACTTGATCTCACACTGTCAGTGCTGCAAACGTAGCAGCAGAAATCAGTTCCATGCATCAGCCCAAGTTTCACAGATGTGTAAAATACTATTTAGGCAATTCCTTCATGTTAATTACATTTCCTTTTTTTAATACATTTACATAGAATGATCTTTTATTTTTAAATATTCACCATTACAGGTGTTTCAGAATCCATAAAGAAAGAAAAAATATTTTGATTGCACCATTTGGATGTTGGATGAGGGGAAATGTTGCAGACTTCATGGATGCTCTTTAATACAGACTTAAGTTCCTCTGAAGCTCTAAAGGTGAAAAAATAAGTACTTCAGTCATTCTACAGTGATAGCATGAGATGGACAGCCCAGAGGACTGGGGTTTATAAGGTAAATTATTTTCTGTTTACTCTCCTGCCAGTGAGGCAGCTCCCACATGAGCTAACATTATCCATGTCCCTCCTTTCACCTTTGCCAGCTCAGCCATTTCACTCTGAGCTACATTTAAGAGAAGCTGCACCAACCCTCTGACTACATGGGAAGAATAAATGAAATTTACTCACTCTTCTTCCACTCGTAAAAGCCCACAAACAACACATGCTGGTGATACTTTGTCAAGTCTGATACTAGGGCCATCTGCAAACGGGGCAACAGCCTTTACTTTTCACAGTCCCAGGAGAATTCAAATGTACTGCAGAGTCTCTGAAGTGATCCTTGTGGAGCTGCAGATGATGAGCCAGTCTATTTAGGAATGTCCTTTCAATAATGCCAAGAAAAACCAGCTTGCTCACCTGGGCCAGACTCATGTCCCATAAATCCAATCTACCCTTCTTCATAATGCTTCACAGATAAACGAAGGAAAAACAGAAACAAAACCTCAAACAAACAAACAAAGAAAACCAATAAAAACCAATCCCAAAACCAAGGAGAAAAAACACAAGAAAGAAGAAAATCCTTTCTTGAAGAGATCAGGTCTGATCCTGAAACTGACATTGGGGATAGCTTAGTAAAGCTGGATCTCAGGAATCTCCTGCCATCCAGCCAGCACCGTTTAATGGGAGGTGGCATCTCCTTTCTGGCCCTGTCCAATTCCCAGCTCTGGTCCTTCAAGCTGATTGCAGGTACCAGTATCAGCATGGATCCATCATCAAACTTTACAGACTCTGCAGAAGGCTGAATCTGGAGCTGAGAACAACAGGGCACCTTGCAACTAAGAACATGCTTTCATCTCTGCAGGACTGGGGCTTTATTTTAACTGTTCTGGATAGATCAGCTGAAGGCTGGAGATTAAATTGTAGCTAAGCAATGGGATCAAGCTACAAAATAGAGATACCATTGCAGCATCTCTGCTTAATTACAATCCAGGACCCAGATCTGAGTTCAAATTCTGAAACATCCTTAAAAAGTATAGTCTGGATACAGATCTTAGTTGAGGCTGATCTTTAATATCAAGTAAAGATTTCTAATAATTTTCTCTTGCAGGAGTTTCACCACTTATGCCAAAAGTGCTATTACTTACAGGAATGCTGTTAAGAGTTGAGACAGTGTATTATATACAAATTGCCAGACCTCATTTCTTGTTCATAGATCAGCTTATATGAGAATAAGGAGGTGAAAAAAATGGTTGCAGCATGCCAAGGTTTCATCACATTTTCTTTTCCTTCTGATGCATTACTTTGTGAGCTTCTTTAGCTCCCTTCCAGCTGCCTTGGCAGTCAAAACTTCTAGGACCTGAGAGACTATAAGTCCTTGTCCAAAGTAAACTCTTTTGTTGATGCCAAAAAACCTGGGCATCATTTCCACAACTTTTACTTCCTCTAAAGCCTTACCACAATACCTTGTATCACACCTTCCCTTTGTCATTAACCCAGCCATGGTGATTAAAAGCTTTCTCATGAGGCAGCGACATGTATGTGCAGTGTGGAGCTGTGCTAACTATGAGGAGCATGAAGGACTGGAAATTCCCTAGTTTTAATAAGAGGCTGCACAGGCATATTATGGTCTGGGAGTAGAATAATACAATTGTCATGAAGCTGCATATTCTGGGCCTGCTGTCCACAGCTTGCCCAGGTAAAGCATAGGCTGCTGCCTGTGAAAGAACATGGACCCAAACAAGAACTCCAGGCTCTCATCTGGTTTAATAATCTCCCTTAAAAAAACTGACAGCATAGACTTAGTTCTATGCTCTGTTCCCATGTGGTACTGTACACAAATAAAGAGTGCAGTGCGGAGGATCAAAGACTGCAGCTCGTGACAAGGAAAAGCCCTCTTGTTTTTAACATTCCCTTTGGAAATGGAAGGAGAAAATTCTGCTGAAGATATATTCCTTGCATTTGTGGATCCATAACTTCTCAAAAATAGTCCAGCATATCTCTCCTTTAGCAATGAAAGAGTTCAGAGAAAGCACTGCATGGGGGTGGGCTCTGGGCCCTCCAGCCACAATGGCACTAATAAAGTGACACAGTCTGTACAGACTAGGAGCTCATGGGTTGAGTTTACTAACCACTGGAAATTGCCAGTACTACATAAAAAAAAGCCCTAAACACACATCTTTTGGGAAATTCTGGCTGACACTCATTGTGGCGGCTATAGCACTTCCTGACAGTTTACTGCTTAAACTATAGCCCATCACACCCACCTGAGGGCCTGCAGACTCAGACATCTCCAGGAATGATGGCCCCTGCAAGCACATTACAGGGACAATCTCAGTGCTGGCAGCAACACCTGTGTTCCTGTCTCCTCTCTAGTCACCAGTGACACTTAAATTGCAGAGACAGCACAGGCTGTACCTGACTTTACCATCACCCACAGTCATAGATCAGGCAACAGATGAGCCTGTGGTGAATGCAGAGTTAGAGGCTTTATAAAGGAAGCTTTAATTCTATTCCCATGGCAGCTGTTGCATATCTGAACACGTATTTGCCTGTAACATTAATGTTTCCTTCAGGAGAGAGTTTAATTCACTTCAAATATCCCTCTCAGGACTTGTTCATGATCTGTTCTGCAGTCCCACAAATCATCCTCTTTACCATACTCTTAATCAATCTGAAAGCACTGAGGTCCAGGGAGGTGGCAACCAGCCACACTCTCAAAGAAACAGTGTAAAATCATAGGAGAGGAAATTTAAACGGAGAAGAAGCACCTGGGGACATGCCACACAGTGGCAATGAAAGACCAAGGGTCAAAGATATGTCCGTCAGGGTGCAAGAGGGCAATAGCCCAAGGATGTGGAGATAAGATCATCTTGGTTTTGTCTGCTGTTGGCAGTGTGGAGCTCAGCTGGAGACAGCTGCAGAGGTGTCATCTGGCTTTAAGCATGATGAAAATAGTTGATACTGGCCTTTGGTGTGACCTTGCCTTGGCTTTCACTGCTTTCAGCCTGAGGGGTCTCTACTGCTGGGCAGCCAGCTGCACACCCATTCCTCAGCCACACCCATCTTGTGTGCCCAAGCAAGGAGAGACTGAGCACTCAGTGAGCAAGACCTGGAAGACTGAAAGAACAACTAGGCATTTCCTGTCCAGCTGCTTTCATTCCAGCCCTTGCACATGCTGGAAAGAGCACATCTGTGATGCAAGAAGAGAGCTGGAGGCAGCGTCTTCAGGTTGTATGTTTATCACTGGAACATCCTTGGGTGTCTCATGCCCTGTGTGACTTGCTCATGCCAGCTGAACCTTCCTCTTCAGCTATCCCCAGCCTCCTGCACTGTTTATTTACACTACATAAATCAGAAAGTCCTTCATTGGTGTCTGGGAAACAATGGTAGGAGTTCCCAAACATCTGGACTTACCTCCTCAGCAGATGTTGTGCCCCTACACCCTGAGCTGCAGTGTCTTGTAACAATGTTTCCTCTCAGCTCTAAATTGTAATTATACAGAGATTTACCTTTCCTTTTTTCCATAGGGAGGATGAGACTTTCACAGGGCTTGTTAGAGAACAGGTGTGAGAAATGCAAGTTCCCTGGGACTGGCTTACCATAAAAAAAAAACAGACCGCGAGGAACTAGGCAGGAGTAACAAGGGGAATGAAAAGCAAGACAAAGATACCATGACCTTCCATAGCAAAAGCTTTGCAGGAAACCATAAAGGATTCAGGTCCATCTTGCACAGAATAGTTTTAACAACAGCAAAATGGCAACAGAGTTGGTCTTGGACACTCCCATTCCAACCATCACAGAAAAGGAATAGGAGGAGCAGCTGCTACTCAATCTGCCTCCCACTTCGTCCATCCAGAATGACAGAGCGCCTCTGGGGCTGGTAGAAGCAGCTGGTAGAGGTCTCCAGTCTCTGGCCGTTCTTGGGGATGGTCATTTTGTTCCTCAGCGTCACCCCCTCAGGCGCTGTCCGCGCAGGGTCGGACAGATCGCCACAAATGGGGCTCAGCGAGGTGCTCTGCGTGGGGCTCCTGATGGGTGACAACAGTACCCTGGAGTCTGCTGAGCACGTGGGGTGGTCCATGATGGGGAAAGGGGGACTGAAGAGAATCAGACTCTGGGGCCTCCCCGGCCTAGATCTGTAGGAGGGTTTGGAGAACCCTGATGGCCGCTCTATCTTTGAAGACTGTGGGTTATCTCCAGCTGTCTCCCCGCCAGAGGTGCGCTTTCGGCGCAGAACAGGGGCATCCAGAGCAGGGTGATGGCTGGACTGAGACGGCTCCAGTGGAGAGCCCAGGCTGCCATGCCAAGGGCAGGCTGAGTCTTTTTGAGCAGGGTCACTGTTTTCTTTCTCTGCTTTGGCTTTCTTCTCTGTCAGCGGGCTCTTGGGGGCCTCCAGGTGGCTCCATGCCACCCGTGGAGCTTGCCTGATGGCCTGCTTGGCTTCTGATTCCTTCTTCTCAGTGGCTGGAGCAGTGTTCTGAGCCTGCAGGGGCTGGGGGATCTGGGTGTACTGAATCTTGGGTGGTATCACGGGCACTGCTCTAGCCTGGCACATCTTAATCATGAAGGAGGTCCTGACTGCTGACACACTGACAGGGGCAGAGTTACGACGGCCGGTGGTGGCGTGGGCCACTGCCAGGTAATCCAAGTCTAGATCCACGGGGGCATTGAAACGAGACCCCCAGGGAACACCCCTAGTGGCAGCAGGGCAGTGTGTAGGTAGGGATGGAACAGAATCACTGCTTTTTACTTCCTTCTGCCCATACAGGAGGTTCCCAGGGGCAGATGGCATGGACAGGCTCTCAAATGTGAAGAAATCTGGGGCTGGGAGGAGTGAATCCAAGTTGAGGGATGAAGGCCTGGTCTTTACCTTGCGAGGTGTTTCTTCACCTTTATTATTCAGCTGTGACTCAGCAGCAGAACACAATGCTTTGGTGAGAGTCTCTCCTCCCAGGGCAGTGTCCTGAGAGATGGATAACTCCTCCTTTGTTTTCTTAGCCTCTGAAGAACTGCTTGGGCTATTTTGGTATGGCAAAGACAACTCAAGCTTTGGGCTCCAAGGGTTTTCTTTGCTCACATGCAATTTCTTTCCCTCTGTCTCCAAAAGAGAGACCCTGGAGGGTCCTGCTTTCTCACCTGGTGCTTTCTCCCTGATAAGGGGATACTCAGGTTTTGAAGGTTCTTCTGGAGGACTTGGGCCATTCTCATCTTGCATCGCTTTGCCCAAAGTAGACATGGGTTGTGTTTTGGACAGCTCACATGTCACTGAATGTAGAATGTCACTGCATGGCTGCTGCTGGTCAGTGGCATCTATGAAAGAGAATGGGGTAGTCCACAGACTCAGCACTGTGTCTTTACTGTCCAGGGAGAGGCTGCGACTGAACCGCGGCCTGAGAGAAAGGCTTGTCTCTGCTCTCTGGCTCTGTGGGTGAATCTCCTGGGCCATCTTCTCCTGAATGTCCTTAAAGGTGGGGGAATGGAGAGGGCTTGTAACCCACTGGTGATCTTCCCAAGGCTCCACAAGTTCTAAGCTCTGTACATTATCTGTCCAGGCATCCTCATCATCCTGGTCAGCAGCATCCTGGGTTCTGCTAACAGCATTGCCTTCCTTCACCTCCTGCATTCCAGCTCCACTCAGTGCCTTGGAGGAGAATGTGTCCCTCTCATCAGTAGTCATTATCTCATGTTTCTCCCTCTGAGTCTGGACTCTGGTAAGACCATCCTTTTCCCTCTGGAGCTGGTAAGTGCCATCTTTGTCTTTCCCTGATTCTGGACATGCTCCTTTGGAACAAGATAATCCATCACTAGTGGCAGTCTCACTAAATTCTGATTGACCATGAAGCTTCCAGTCTGGGGTAGGAGTGAGACATTCACTCCTGCTCTCTACTATTGACTGGTGGTTCTTTGGGGTGGCTGAGCCCGTGGGAAGAGTGCCCAGTTTGGGTAGGGCTGAAGCACCACTCTGCTCTGCAACTGCATCAGACTGGAGGCTGGGGAGGCTGTCTTGTTGCTCCATGCCACTGGCACCAAATAAAGGCACCTGAGTTATCTGTGATGCTCTGCTTTCAGATTTCTGCTCAGCAAGTGTTGGACTCTGCCCTGGGCCAGAGCAAAGACTATCTGTTTGTTCTGTAGAGGAGGATTCGGAAATTGGACTTGTCTTGGGAACAGCTGCTGGCAAGAGCAAGAGCTCCTCTTCAGGTTCAATGATTTTCAGTTCCTGCTGTATCTCTGGCCACAGCGGTTCTAGAAGGGCATTCGCTGGGTCCTCCTCAGTCTGAAAAACAGAAAAAATGCCATCACCTGGGAGCTCACAACTTCCCAGTAAACACCCCTCCATTTTCCCCAAACAGCCCTCCTAGAATAGCCAGGCTCCTGAATGAGCAGGCTCATGGGTACAGAAACACAGACACACAGACTGCTACCAGTTCAAGGAAGAGAATACATCTATAAACAAGTGGGTTTATGGTGGAGAAGGTCTGAGGTGCAGCCAAAAAGGAGGCCTGGACAGACATACTGAAATAGTGAGCTGAATGAGTAGATGGAATGTTCCAGCCCATTTCTCAGCAATTCCCATTCAGGCTCGCTTGGCCTTGCCAGAGAATATGCATTCCCAAACTGCACACAAACTCGAATGAATAATCTATTCAAGGAGATATGCCAACAGATCTTTAAATAGCTGTCCAGAGATGAGTATCGCTGTAAGAAACTTGGTAGAAAGGCTTTGCTAGAGATAAAGAGAAGGCAAAAAATAGTAAAAATTAAAAAAATAAAATTGTGTGTAGAGAATGGGAGTAAAAAGGACTGTTCAGGCTGTCCAGGACAAATGGGACAGCAAAAATAGAAGGGGAATTCAGACACCACGGGTCAAAATGTTCAGACATCCGGACAGTCTCACATCTGGAGAGTCTCAGAGCAGACAGATGGTACAGACTGAAGTTCTACAGTTACAGGAAAAGATGACCAAAAGGGGACAGTAGGTAATTACATAAAGGTAAATCACCACATGGTGATTTCACAGAAGTGAAATAAATCAGTTCATGGTCAATTATTGGTGCTGCTTGGCCTAACTTACAGATGTAGTTTTCACAACTACAGACACACAATGAAACTTTAAACAACCTCCCAGTCACTACCACAACATGGTCCCCCACCTTTCTCATGCCTTTTCCTTACCACGTCTCTTAGGCGTGATCCTTCTTCTGTCTTAGCCATCTCAATCTCCTGTTGGTCACAGCTGCTTTCTGAGGAGACTTCCTTCATCTTGAGCTGTCCTTGCTCTGCTTTGTCTGCTGGGAGTGGTCCCTTATGGAACTCTGAAGCTGGTGTTTGTTCCAAAGTGGGACTCTGCTCTGAGGACTGCTGGGGGCCGCTGGTGCTGCTTGTGCAGCTGCTTTGCCCACATGTCTCCTGATTTTCTGCTCCTGGCTGTGGCATTTCTAGGGACTCAGGTTTCCCAGCTGCCACCATCTCCTCAGGATGAGAGCCTGGATCAGAAACATGAACTAATGTAACTACTTGAGACGCAAAACTTGTGCCCTGGGACAAAGCAGTGCTGCCAAGAGCCAACACCAACTAACAAAGCTAGAGAGCTCCCTCCAGGCACAACCAGACGTTTCTGCGAGGTCACCCACCTACCCAGGCTCCTTACTGCAACAAGCACCACCCTGACCTGCTATCAACACCCACCCAGCTATAGGTTAGTTTCTTTCCTGCCACAAGCTCAAGCTGGAGAAACCTCCACACCACCAAGCTGCAGGTAACTTCCAGCAGCCCAGCTGAGGATCCATACCCCCCTCCTTAACACAACTTACCTCTGGATGCTGGCAATGGCAGAGTTGGCCCTGGCTGTTTCTCCTTGCGCTCCGCTGCCTGCTCTGTCCTTGTGTGGGTCCCTGGCTCCAGAGCAGAGGGGCTCGTGCTCTCCACCAGAGAAGACAGCTCCTCTAGACTAGAAAGGGAATGCTTCTCCTTGGTGGGCAGGCGGCAGGGTGTGCTGTTGGTGCTGATGACTGCCGATACCCTCAGCGGGACAGAGACAGCAAATGGCTCCGAGATGTTCAGGGCTTTCCTCTGGTGATGAGGAGAGGCCTCCAAGGGAAAGAGGCTGCTTGGGAAGCCTGACTTAGTGGCTGTTTCAGAGGTGTAGAACATGAGCACTCCTTTGGCTGAAGTCTGCTCGTTTTCAGCATCCTCTGCTACCCGGAAAACCTTCAGCTGCTCGGGGGCTGACTTCACCTGCGGTGTCCGGGGAAGACCTCTTTCCCCACCCAGCTCTGAACTTCCTCTGGCCCCCATGGCAGATCCTTCCCGCTCCCACTCATTCTCCTTGCTGAGGTCATATGAGCTGCCTGTGCCTCCTGTCCGTATCTTGGTGGGAACAAAGAATCCTCCAGTAGTCACGGACCGTTTGAACCTGCTTTTGTCATCCTCCCCTAGAGACAGGAACATAGGAGCAAGTCAGTGGGAAGCAGAGAACTAGCAAACAAACTTCCTTTGTGAGAAGCCCTCCTCCATCCCTCCAGGGATAAGTCCTGCCCTGCTGAACACTCACATCTCCCCAGATGTGAGATGGAGACAAGTGGCACTGAAGGCTTTCTACGCTCTAGCCCTAGGGCTTTCTTCAAAACAGGCAGATAGCACTGGACTGAATGCCCAGCAGTGGAAATCAGCTCAGACTTTTATTAGACACCCTTCTCCATCAGATGCAGCCAAGTCTATGGCTATCACATAGTGCCCACAATGCACACACCACGCTTTGTCACCTTTTTGTAGGCCTTTTTCACCTACAAATGGGATTTTTGTGCCCAGAATAACCAAGAAAAAAACCAAAGCAGTCCAACTGCCAATAAAGGTGCAGCTAAACACAGTGGTAACTCTCACATGGATGCACTGAGATAAACAACACAGAAAAGAGTCAAAAATGCACGCACACAGAGGTGGGGCACATGTCAGCAGCCATGGCATAAGTACACAAAGATACAAAACACGATGAGATAGGCACAGACTGCTCATCCATCAAGGGTGGTGAGACACTGGAACAGGCTGTCCACAGAAGCTGTGGACACCCCATCCCTGGAAGCATTCAAGGCTTGCTCAAGTGCTGGTACCACCTGGCATAGTGGAAGGTGTCCCTGCCTGTGGCAGGGGATTTGGAGCTAGGAGATTTCTAAAGTCCCTTTCAACCCAAACCATTCTGTGATTCTGTGATCCATGCTGCTGAAAATGCAGAGCTGCAATCCTTCCCCCTGACAGTACAGGCAGGCTATGGATGTCTCACCTTCCACTGGCAGGGAACACAACGAGTCCATGCTCTTTGCAGGCCGGATAGTTGCTTTTTCTGTGGAAAAAGATTTTTAGAAGCAGGTATCAGATCCTGTGGCTTTGCAGGCTTCAGCCTATAAAGATCAAAGGCTGCATACATATAGACAGGCATGCCAGGCAGACATTTTCCATTTCCAAGCATTCCCCCATGTATCTACACCACATGGCTTATTACCCACAACACTTGTCCACACAGCTGGGGATCTGCTAGTGCTAACAACAGCTTTGCACCTGCTGGACATGTGGAGAGCTATACTTAACCCAGCCAGTCAACACCACCTCCACTCTGAAGCAGTTAAGCATCCCCAAAGCTGTCATGTGCCACTCCCCTGCCCGACTCAGTCAGGCTATTGGCTGTGGGGGACTTTTTAACTAAATTGACATAAATGCCTTATCACCTCTCATTCCTGATAGCAAATGTTGGGTTATTTTTACGTTGCACTCCCAGCTCTTTTGCTGATGTGAGCATACCCTGCCTCCAGCAAGAACTCTGGGAAATTTCTGAGGGCAGTGAGTGACCTATTTTGCTGGCCATCCTCACTGGACTTGCTTGTCCAGAAACAAGCTGTCCTTTGTTACTATACACTCTACAGGTCTGTTCCTGAGAGGTTTTGGAAGCTTGTAACTGTTACTGCTCTGTAAAGGGAAGGGAGGTGGGGAAATGTAGCTGGCAAGGAAGACAAGTTAGTCTCTGGCAGCCCAAAAAAGGTCCATGGAGATCTGGAAAATGTCTGGGAGTAAAGTTTGCTGTTTACAGAGTTGCACAAAGTAGGTAAAGCAGAAAGTCAGCAGGCTTGTTGAACTTCATTTGTTTATATAATTGAGGCTTCTGGCTCTGACTCTCACATGAGCACAGGAGAAACTCCAGCTACTTTTTACATTTATATGGAGTTCTGGCTACTCTTTATGTTCATAAGACGTGATGTCTTGAGCACTGTTTCCGCTTTCCAGAAGGAACAGAATTCAAGATGGGGAGCTGTGTAAGTCACATTTTATGTGACTTACAGATTTGTGTGCACAGACACAAGCTGTGCTAAACCATGTGCTGAGTTTCAGCAGCCACTTCATCTGCTCCCTCACATTAGGCTGTAAGCAGAGAGCACTGAAAGATGTAACACGGCAGCACAGAAAGGCACCGCTTCAGTGCTGAAAACTCTGCACAAGGCTGTGCATTTGTGTGTCCTGCTGGTGAAAATGTCCAGCCCCCTGTCACTCAGTACTGTCCTTGGAACAAGGCTCACCCTCCACAATGACTGGGGCTGCCATCATTCCTGGGCCTCCTTGGGTAAGTGCTATTTTGGGACAGAGTATTCCTTATCAAAGTGAGAAGGTGATCCCATGATCAAAATAGGATAGAGAGCTATTTTGAAGTCTGTCATGGCCACACTGTACATGCAAAACATGGGGAAGGCAGGGGATCCAGCCTGGATCCAGCATTTGGCTTCACACTCATTCCTGATCCAAATACAGCCTCTCTTATATGTGGTGGTAACTAATGTTGCCAATATTAAGCGTTTTATTTGAAGTCTTACAATGTTAGACAGTGGTCCTCCAAACACCAGCTCCTGAAGTCATGAAATTATATAAAGAAAAAATCCACCCTCATCTCCCTACAGAAAATAATTCCCTGACTTGGAGATACTAAAAAAATCTGGAACATATAAATGCAAAATATTTCTTTATTAATTCAAATTAAAAGGGCATGCTTTCTTTTTAAGAATGTGATTACTTTTGAGTCAAGTTCATGATTTTTAGAGCTTGAGTCATCATTTCTTAACACTGGGAACTGGCACTGCCATGTGATTTTCTAGGAAGCGGAGTGTTTAAGAGATTGCAGCCCAGGAGAGGTTAGAACTTGGGATTACAGCCAGAAGAAAACACAACTTTTCTCTTGTAAATTCTGCAAAAGCAATGGCTTCCCTCAATGTGCTTAGAGCCCAAGCTGAAGGCACTCCTGGTGCCTTGTTTTTCACAAAGATACTGAATGCAGTTGGTTCTTTTAAAGTCCTTTTGTGGAAGGACAACCTGGAAAGACAGCCTAGAAAGACAGCCATTCACCCAAAGCCATGTAACAAGCCTCAGGAGACAGAGGCTGGGCTGGAACAGTGGACTAATCCAAACCTACACAGCATTTCCTAGTCCCCAGATTTGACAGCTGCACAACAGGAGCCTATTTATCAGGTACCAAAATACAATATTTACTATAGCTGTCTGTCCAATCCTCCTGGAAGGGTGTTTCTTGCCATCACAGGAGAATGAGATGTGCATGAAACCAGGCAACAAGCACAACCCCATTAGACTATCTCAAGTCTACGACATTAGTGGAAAGTGGATACAGGTTGTCCCATGCTACCAACAACACAGGAGAAAGCCTCAGAGAGAAATATTCAGCTGCAAAATGTGTTCTTACCAGAAAGCTTCTGTGCCCTTACAAAGACACTCCCATTTCGACTCAGTTTAGACTTTGATTCTGAGCCAGAGCGGCCCAAATTAAATATTGATTTCCATTTCTTGGACTTGGTGGATAATTTCCTCCTGGAAGGAAAAAAGGCTCAGGTGGTCACCAAACCTTAGAAACTTTTGCCATTTTAATACTCTCCAAAGGCCTCTGAGCTGTCTCCCCTCAACACTTTCCAATTTTTTCTTCTCACACCTCTTTTAACTCTAAAGCATAGCTATACAACCAACCCTTGTTGTCTACATAGGTAGTAGTCACGCTGTAAGTGATTTATCTGTACTGCTGATTTAACTATTTCATGGATGGAAAGACACCTAAGCCTTCAGATAGCTGGTTCTGGCATCATGCTACAGCAACGGTGATTGAGCAATCAACCATGCTTGTCTCCAGAAAAGAGATCAAGGCTCAAACTATCCTGCAATAAAGCAAAGAAAAATTGCCTTTTTAACAGATTTTAATGACACAATGTATGATAAATTCCAAGGAACTGATGGAACTGGTACCATTTCTCAGTGCACAAAGTTATGCTTTAAAAACCATGTCTTATGGCAAAAATAAAGGGATTCCTTAATGAAAACTTGCTATTAATGCTTCTCAGGCCAACCTTAATTTAATCACAGGTGTTATATATTCATATGCAAGTATAATGTACTAACCAACCAGGAGGAGGTTTCAGGGAATTAAATCAATTTCTCATAACCCTCAGAGGAAATGGGACACCAGTTCCCCATGTCTCTTTGGAAATCCCAGCTTTTGCAGAAAGAAGCTTCTTGTCCTAATGCATTTTTTTTATTGTATACATATTTCTTTGTGAATCCTTGTTTCACTACTTTCATTCTCATTCTGACTCCTCCTTCGATCTCCCCTCCTTCAGAGCAAGAATTCCCTTAGCTCCCTGTCTTGTTCTCCACATTGTGCTTTCTATCCCCTTATTTCTGCTCTTCTTTCTGATCAATACACAGAGAAGTACAAATCAGTCCTACAAAGGGGATTAATATTTGGGGACTTTTCTCTTTAAAGAGAAAGGAGGAGACTGTAGAGGGACATACATATTTTTGTCTTAAACTGGTTGTCCTCTTGCCAGTATTATGTTAGATGACTCCTTTTTGCTTTAATATATCAAGTGCCAATAAATATCTTTGTTCTGGTGCTTTCTGGGTCAATAGATTAATGAGCCTCCTGCTGCAGAGGCTATAATCTATCAGAACCAGGCAGTAGAGTGGCTATATATTAACCACTTAGATAGACCAATAGATAAATACTTATTCTGGGCAGCTGTGCCAACCACTGCAGCAACCTCAGCTGAAATCAGACTCTTCTCCTAGCATAGACATAGGTGGCATAGGTGCCACTATGTAAACATCTCTCCATGCTGGGAGTGAAAATGAGCCTTGCTGCTTGGCTGTAATTGCAGAGGAACCAGGAGAATGAAGAATCTGGAGCAGGGCAGTGGCACCAGGTGTGCCCTGGACCAACCACCAGTAGGTGGAACTCATAGATGAGCTGTACCCCACCTGCTCCACGGTCATCCCATATTTAGCCAACTTCTGAGCTGGCACAAGGATGCAAAAACAATTCATTCCTCCTGCAGGAGGTCTGTGAGGTTCTGCCCTGATGGAGAGATGAGAACTAGAGAAGCTATGAACCCAGCACCTGAAATACTTCTCAGGAGAAGCTCTGCCTCTTTTGAGGACACCGAATTTTCTTTGTGTAGTGGCAGTAGATTCAGATGAGTGCCGAGGTGTGGGGGTATCATGTTAACAAAAGGATCGTGCCAAATCACATTGGGGAACCTGCACTTTTTTATTTGTGCTTACTCTCCTCTTGGCACTTACTTGCTGTCGGGAAGGTCAACAACTGTGTGGAAGAGGGACCCAATTACAGGCACAATTTCAGGCAAGCTGTTCTCTCTCCTCTCCTTCCGAGCAGGATGGGATGCAGACAGACTCCGTGCCTGGGCTTCTTCCAGGCTCACCAGTTTCATTGGCAGGGAGGCTGAGGGGAGGGTCAAACTTTTCACAACTGATGCACTCTCTGAAAAACAAGACAATACATTCCAGCCTGGGGTGAGGAGAGACGAGAGCAAGAGCTTCATGACTTTATTTGACTGGAACATCTCCTGTGGAGGGGGGAAAGAAGTGGCACGTGCAGGGAGAAAGGCTTTTTGTCAGATAAGCCTTTCAGCTCCCCAGCAACCTTATCCCTCTGAGTACATTCCCAGCAGGGGCCATGCCTGCCAGCCAAAGGCTGTGCGGTGTGGATTTGCTTCCTCTGCTGCAGACACTTCTGTGTGAAGGAGGTGTCTCTGAAAACCACCAGGATTCACACATTCCCTTTACTCCTCCCTCACTCCCTTCCTCCATTTTGCCCCCACCCTCCCCCAGTTTTGAAGCAGTTCAGTTGCTGATCCCAATTTAGTGCCTAGTTCTTTCTCTCACTTCCACATCTTTCTCCTTGTCTTGTTGCAGGACAGGGGATTGTTCTAAAATGAGCATCACTTTAACTTTCTAATCCATTTCAGGGCTGCAGAAAGCAGTCTCACTGACAGCCCAGAGAACTGAAAATGTCTGTTTATGGGGGCAGGGGCAAAGCCCTGTTACAGTAAAGATGGGCAGAATGAGCTGGCACAGGGCTACAAAGCAGAAAGGTGGATACTGCCTGAGTACTGAAGGTATCAGAAGTCTTTTGAGTGTGTAAAATGAGAAGGTGCATATTTCTGCAACTATGTGAGGTCACTGTGGATCCATGCCTTCTCACTTCCCAGTCCTTGCCAACAAGACCATCACTAAACAGCAAAATCAGCATCTCTGAAAACTATTGATGTCCCAAGGAAAAAAATACATCTCTTTTATAAAGTGTTCTCAAAAACAAGATATAAGTTTTTGGAGCACAAGATTAATTTGTTTCATGGGAGTGCCTGGGAGTGTGACCTCTGACTTGGGTGGAAATAGTGGCTGCAGGGCAGGTATTATTGGTATGAGGAATTGTAACTGGGGGAATCTGACAGAAGAGCTGAAACTGTGGCTGATGGACTTAGAGAGAAAGCTTAGACCAAGAATCAATCAGGCGGTCTTCCTTTTGTGGAAAGGAGTAAGCCACATGAGATCATGCAGAAGGTGAGATATGAGGCAACCTGAGAAAACACTAAAGGACACTAGTATTGAAAAAGAAAATGTTGAAGATAGGGATGAAGAAGACAGGAGTAATGAGATATTGGGCCCAAGGTGCCTTTGGGGAAGTTTGTGGTGATAGCAAGGGTTACTGTGCTTGTAATATTAGTTGAAGGGAGAGCTGAATGACATAGCAAGTGACATGGGAAGTGGCTCAGGGAGATTGCTACCAATGTTCTCTGCAGAGCTGGCTTTCCTGTTGTTGTTGAAGATCTGATCCACGTGGTTCAGGATGAACTCGATCACCAACTGCTGCACTCGCACCTCCAGGAAAGCTGCATCCCCATTGCAGCCAACTGCCTCAATCTCCTTTGACCTGCATGAGGAAAGAGGGGTACCAGTAGTGAGCATTGCCACACACAGCCCCTGGCAAGGACAGACCAGATTTCTTCCTGCAAGCAAGGCAACAGAGATGATTTCCCCACTCTTGCTCTTCCTCCCCTTCCCTCACAGGCCCTCATTTTCTCTTTGTCTTTTAACTCTTTTAAAAATTATTTTCTCTGTTTTCTTTGCCACTTCTGCTACTTCCTTTCCTGAATGTGTTATTTTCCCCACTTGGCTTTTGCATTCTTCAGCAGGTAAAACTGTGACTCTCAAGTTCCATTCTTCTCCCTTTTTCCTAGTTTAGCTATTTCAAGGTTGGGCCTGAAAGACAACACAGGAGCTTTCAAAGGCTGCTTCTAGATCCCTACTCAGTGCTTCAATCACCTCTCAGTGAAGTCTCTTAGACCCTGCTCAGGTCTTCCCCATGCCAATTTTTTCAATACTTCTCCGTGTGCCCCAATAGTCTCTTCTCTGCCCACCCTGTGCTCCCACATTCTCAATCTTGCTCTCAGCAAAGGAATATTCCTTATCTTGACATGTCAAAGTGTTGCTGAAGAAATTATCTTTGGGCAATGGATCCTTTGTAAAGTTAATGACTGGTGTGTTAGATAACAGCTTGGGGCATTGCCAAGAGGATAACCCTGTGAGGAGACTGCAGTTGCATTGCTTGCTCCTTTCTTTTCCTCCTGGGACTTGTACTTATGAAAGATTGCAAAGGAAAAACAGACTTCTCTTTTTTTTTTTTTTTTTGACAAGGACAGATGCTAGAATGAAAATGTCTCAGTAGTAAAGGCCCAAATTATGATATTCAATAGAGTCAGCATTTGATTCATTTTCAGGACTTGCTCTGCCATTTTTGGGATTCAGAAGGGTGAGATAACTCTTTAGAGCATGCTTTTCAGGCTTGTACCTCTCTAGCCAATGTTCTCTGCCAGCCCAGGGCTACCCTGACAGCTCTGCCATCACTGCTGTCCTGCCCAACTGCAGTCCTGGACTTGCCCTGAATAGCTCATTCCTCTAAATGCAGGGGTATTGGATGGATGGAAAGGGAATTTTGACAAGATATAAAATATTTAATTTTTTTTTTCCCAGATGCTATTTTTCCTTGTTCTGCTTAGCTCTACAACATAGCAGCCAAACCCCTGCTTGCATCTAATCCAGGCTTCTTCACATCAGACTGCCAGGCATAACAAACATGAAAAACTAGGTGGTGGTCTTGAGATCTGACACTGGCTGCCATTTCAAGCCCAGCAAGCTCATCTCAATTTTGCACAAGCAGATCTGGGAACAGGTCTCTAGTATTATTGCCCTGTTTTTCTCCCTTCTGATCCTTGCTGTCTCTCACTGCCCTGCTGCAGAAGCATTGGCACCATCAAAAATGTCATTAACATTCCCAAGTGATGAGTTAAGTCCTCATTTCTAAATCTATGCTCAACTTGCAAATAACAACCTTTTTTTTAATAAGAAACACACAAACCCACAAGCTTCCTTGGACGCTGGCAGTAAACCCTTAGATTATTCAACCTGGAAGAAAAGCTGTTTGCTTTGCTATGCTCTTCCCTTCAGTTGCTCATCTTTTCCCTGTATTTGCATTTCCCTCAGGTCATTAGGCTCAGATGCTGCCACTCCCCTTGGAACTCAGTATGGTGCTCTGGATTAGAGGAATCTCTACTGTACCTGAGGAGATTTGGAGCCCACACCAAGGCCAGGTTTCTGGTGTGCATGTTGGTCATGTTGCTGAAGGAAGCCAGGTGAGTCAGGTGCTTGATCAGGTATTCCAACGTTCTGCAGTGGTTTCACACAAAGAAAGAAAAATGTGTCACATTACCAGTGCTTGCCTGCTGGGACAGAGAGGCTCAGAGCCAGCCTTGTCCCCTCCCCAGGTGTCTGCAATGGCACAACAGAGCCCATGGGGCAGAGGAGACAGCATCAACATTTGCATGGGATGGCAGTGAATACCTGAACAGCTGAGCTCTGGGATGGCCAAGGGTGGGGCATGAACCGAACTATCCTTAGCATGATGGGAGCAAAGAACACGGGAGATGGGAAGAGGGAATGGGATGCTGCAAAGGCTGAGCTCTTAGCTCTTGCTCAGGCACCTCCAGTAGATCATCATCTCCTTACCACACCCAGGACACTGCCCAAGGGTGCCACAGTGGTCATACTCGGGGAAGGAGGATGGTAAGACTGCAGCAGGGAGACCTTGTTCTGTCTCTAACAAAGGTTTGTTCAATGATATTTAAATGCCAGATAAATTGTTGCCAGATTTGGAAATGGTGAGTCAGCTTTTGGAAATTGATTTCTGGAAATGAATCCTAGAGCTATTTCAGGCAATATTCCCTGATGAGGGTGAGGTCACCACGCTGATCTTCAGCACCTCTGTGGACACAGTCTTACCTGTAATGTGATGGTGGCAGCTCCTGGATGACATTTTGAATTCGTGCCAGCTGCTCGTCCTCGGGGAAGCGTGACACTGCTTCCTGCAGGGACACAAGGAAACAGTACACCCTGGCAATGGACTCAGGGGAAAAGGAAGAGGGATAAGAAGGGTCACACGAGACACCCTGTCTCAGAGGGAATGCTCTCTTGTTACCCTACAGAGCTATTGGAAGAAGAAGTTTCTTTGTGTTCCCAGCACTGCAGAGATTTCCTGCACTGTTATTCCATGTCTCAGCACACCATGCCCAGACATTCAGACATGGTGGTCAGTTTTTATGGCAGAGGGGCAATCAAGGACTTAGACCTTCAATTACAAATTACAGGGAGTTTTTTGGCTTGTGTTGGTTTGTTTTGCTTTGCTTTTCATAGGGTATTTTTTGGTTCTTTTCACTTTTTTAAACTTGAGTAATGAAGGATGAAATAAAAAGAGAGGGGAAAGAGAGAAGTGAAAATAATGGAAACGGCAAAAAACAATTACACCCCCCAAAAATAACCTGTTAAAACATGTTTTTCAAGCTGTGTTATGAGAATGTTTGGGATATACATGTTCCTAATTCTTCAAAATAAACAATATTTTGACTGTCATAACAACATAGCTGAGGGGATTATTTTTGTGGGTTTGCATCTTTCATGATGGAAGAAGGCTTAGCAGAATCCCTGCCCAGCAGATTAATAAATTCTTATGCTCAGGGTTAGACAGAATCAAAGTTATACATCTCAGTCTTGAGCAAAATCTCTGCAGACCAAGAGCTCAGAGAGCCATGAGAAGCTTTTGTCAGCATTCCTAGGAGTTCACTGCATTGGCATTCATCTGTTCAGCTATTCCCTTTCAATATTTGTGCTGGGGGAGGACAAGCCACCAGCCAGTTCAAACAGTGCATGACTGTCTGGGAACCTCCTCCTACCCACCCGACTGCCACTGGAGTTTGGAGCGAGTTCAAAGGAAGATGCTGTGACCCACACCGCCAGCACAAGCTTTGCCTCCAGACTGATGTCAGCACTGCCAGGGGAGGAAAGGAAGGAAGCAACCCTTCCCAAGCCACCCGTCGCTTAAACATCATGAACCTGAAATTACCAGCCACTGCTAGAGAAGCATCTTCCTGCAGCAGGCACTGCAGCACCCCCTGTGATGATGTTACCACCGCTGGTTTTGTCACTGCCCCTTTCCCTGCAGATCACTTCTCATCGGCAACCATCAGCTAACCAAACACTGCCAGCTTCCAGGCCAGAGAAGTGATGGCAGATCAAAACAAGTGAGCTCACTACTTAAGTATATATGAGATGCACATGTATTTGGTTTGCCAAAATTAAGGGCAGGTTAACTACTTCTAGTGATTTTACACGTGTGTGTGGTGCCGTAAAAAAAAAAAAAAAAGCCCAGAAATCTGAAGCATAAGTGCTCTTGCAATCTTAATACAATGTTTCCAGTTGAACAGCCTTGTCCAAAGATGGAGACTGAGAGAAATAAAAACTTTAAAGCATTAGTATTTCAACTAGATTGTACACAATATTTTCTCCCCTGGTGCACATTTTCATTCCCATATTTAACCTTCCAGTTCTTGAAGACCTAATGATTAGACAGCAAGTGAATACCAGCTTCTCTGAGGTCATGACCTGTTCATTCCTGCGAGCCTCATGTCTGACCCACACGAGCTGTGCTTTTGCAACCTGAGGAGCCCTCCAAAACTGCAGATTATAGCAGCAGAATACAGAATACAAGGAAGAACCAACAATTCCATTTCTTGCATATCTGTTCATCATGGTATGAATTTATGCCATTTAAGATTTTTTTTATTTAACTGCACTAGTGATTCTGGGAGTGCACGATTCATGAGCCCTGGTTAACCAAGTGGAATAAAGTCCAGACAGAGAAGGTAAACTTGGCATCCTAGAGCTGGTCCCTCTATGCCCAGGCTAGAACAAGCCAAGCAGAGTTAACTTATCTGTCCTGAGAAACAGCCATCCATCACTGGGATACAAGATGGCAATCATCTGGCAAAAATTTATAGCCAGTGAGGTCATGACTGGGATGTTACACTTGTGAACTTGACATAGTGATGACCAAAAGGACAACCCTTCCCTAGTCATTAAGAATTTGACTTTCCTTAGACAGAAATCTCTGAATCACTGTGGTGACTCAAAGTGCAGGCTATCCCAGCTCAGAGCCAGCTCTGGCTCAGTCAGGCTGGGATTAGCATGGGTTCTTTATTCCTACCAGCACTCGTCTGCTGAGATACAGCTGCCACTGTTCCCTGTTCAGACACCCCACGCACACACACGCTCCTAGTGGGTTTTCTGCTCCTTGGGGAATTGGTCTTTTTTCTTTCTTTCCTCCTAGTATCTGACTGTGCTTCCTGTCAGCTGGGTTACCAATTATAAATCCCTTCTGAGCAGGCTCACATGAATAATGGATTTTGTGGCTAAGTGGAAAAACTGAAAAGCCAGAGATTTTGAAAAAAAAATTCTTTAGTTCAGCCCAAAGTGATAATATTTTGGGCAGCTGGCATAAAATTTTAGAAAACAACTGTTCAAGGTTAACCAAAAGCATCACACTCAAACATTAGTTACATAAATGATAATTAAAATTTGGAACTGTTTAACCCTTTTCTGAAAGACATTTTATGTAAGTTAGATGTGTTGATACAACGTTGAAACATTTTCTTTAGAAAGTACTTGTAAAAGAAACACTCAGACTGTTACAGAAATGTTTTCCCTTTTGTTTTTGAACAAAGCTATTTACTAAATGTATCTACTGAAAATCTGCAAGTCATCATCCCAAAAGTTCACTTTTCAGCAAACATTCTTTCCTAAAAGAAGTTTCCATCTAAATCTTAATGTTTCCTTTAAAGCATTTTTTCTTCCATAAATCAGTAGTGATAGCCAGGAAGACACCAGCCAAATAGCTCCAACAAGAATGAGACTCATCAGTTACAGTGAATGGTTGAATGATGCCCTGTATTTTCAAGATCCTATTCATCCTGTCTCCAGCAATCCTACCCCATATCCTCAGAATCCTTATATCCTGAGGATACAGGACTTTCAAATCTGCTCAGGATTTTCCCTGAAGATTTGACTATATATCACCTTGAAACAAAGACCAATCTTACTTAAAGTTTGGAACAGCAAGATGCCTAACATTACTGCATAGCTGTCAGGCAGCACAGTGAGCCACTCCCCCCCCAAAATCCCCAGCAGAGTCGTGTCCCTAAGAGCTACCTGACTTCTTACAGCAAGTTCCTGCTTGGCTGGTCCCATCTGGCTTTGCCCCACAGCAAGCACCCCTTGCACTGACACCTCTTCCCAAAACAGGCAACAGGGAGACTTTGGAGAGCATCTCCTTGTGAGGACCCTGTGGATCTCTCCCAGTGCCTCCTGTGGCACAGCAGTGTCACTTGGAAGTGCTTGATTTGGGATAGAGGCAACTCAGACAGCAACACCTGATTTTGCAGAACTTCTTCTCTGCAACATCAGACATTTTTGGCAATGGCTGTTGCCGCCTCCTCCCAGCAAATGGGAAAGAGCAGGATGACAGAAATTCTTAACAAAGGACGGATGTTTCTAACACTGAGAAAACAATCTTTCCCATCCCCCACACCAGTTATCTTAAGAAGTTGGTAAATTCTTTTAGCTGAAAGTGCATACCTTCAGCACGCAAGATTTCAGCCTCAATGATGGAATGTAAATTTGCTGGTGTCATAAAAAAATGAAAGTAGATTTAGAGTGCTAAGAAACAGGCAGCTTTAATAACAAGCATAGCTTGCTGTGCCACCTTTTAATAAAATATTATCTGTCATCAAAATTAGTCAAGTCTCTTAAAAATTCAGGCTTTGTGGTCTTATATTTCTGCTCCCCCGCAGTCTGCTCCTAAGCTCCAACTGTATCCATGTATAATCTATGGCTGTTTTCCAGAATCAAGTAACTACTCTTTGAATTGTAATATCTTTAAACAAAGTTAGAGATTTCTGCTTGGCCAGTTGCCACTTTCCTCTGCCATTTGTATTTATAATGTGATCATGATGGACCTGATATGCCGTATCGGGCATAACCAGTATCCTCATCGGCAGCCCTACAAACAGTATGAAAAATGTGACAGATGCAGAAAAGTTGATGCTTTACACATGGGCTGGACAATGAGTTTGTGCAGGTGTCAGGGACAGTTGGAGGGACAGGGACAAGGAAACCACACCCCTGTGATTATGATCACAAGCCCAGGTGACCTAGAAGACTCTCAGTGATGGACAGTAATGAGGAAACTAAAGAGAATTAGTCATGCTGGGAATAGGTGCACAATGGGGGGAAAAAGAGGCAGCGGGGAAGCAATGCAGTGAAAAAATGAGCAAGATGAAGGGGAGGAAACAGCAGACAAACTGAGAGAAGTAAACATGAAACGGTGAAAAGAAACAAGGACAGGGAAAGAGAGCCAACATGAGATGAGAAGGGAAGAGCACCGAGAAATGTTTACATGGATAGATGCATCAGAAGCCAGGACATTGGAGTGAATCCCAAACAGCTGTCATGGAGGAATCTGCAGCACATCCACACTTCTGGAGAGGAGCAAGAACAGCCAAGGGTCTTACCGTGAATTTCTTGTAGAGCTCATAAGTGAGGAGAGGGTTGGGCAGTTCCCTGAAGTACAGCTTGCAGAGTGACCCCACACAGTGGATGTCCTGGAGGTAAACTTCCCTTGTCAAATCTGGGCATTGGTCAGAAACAAACTCTTGTCTGAAACAACATGGAAGCATAACAATATGGGTGGATAAGAGTTGTAGCAGGCCAGTACTCCACCCTAAGTACTTATTTGCAACTAGAGAAAAAACAAATGGGAAAGCAGAGATGTTTCTGCAGGCCGGATTGTGCCCCAAGTTCAGGCCCTGAGGTTTCAATTAGTCTCCATTATCCCTAACACAGTGAATGGGCCTCAAAATGATATGAAGATATTGCTTTGTCCCAAAGTGAGAGAGAGCAATTCAGTATTTTCGCTGAGACCCTCTTTGCCTTTCCCACTAAGAGATGCAGAGGGAGATAAAGGTTTTTTTGGGCTAATCCCTAAAATGTTGTCTTTCCCTGTTAGCAACTTCAAAGACAGTTTATCTTCTGCATCCATCTGAAGCTCTGTACCGCAGTCTGTACCTGAGGAACTAACACCAAAAAGGTACTGAGCAATGTCCCTGAATCCCTCTGACACTCCCAAACGTTGCCTTTACCTCAACTTCTGTATGTTGGACGTCACTCCTGAGAGCCGGTAGATCCCATCCACGATGCCATGAGTCTCAATGAACTCCGCACAGCTCTTCAGCACGTAAGGGACTACAAGAGGAAAGCAAAGCAAGATGTCCAGTGAATACACACTGACAGCTCCCACAAGTCACCACAGAGGAGACAGTTCCATGAAAAAACAACAGAGGCTCTCTGTGGATGCAGGGAAGGGTACAGCAATGAAAGAAATACAGGGCAAATCAAAAATAACCCCTGCAAAGTGGCCATGAGGATATGCTGTGGTTGTGCCATGCAATGCTCATTAACATGTGACAATGACTGACCCTGAAGTCACAGTAACATAGCAGAAAGAAAGGTAGGGTTTCCCTCTCTTCCCTTCTCTTCCAAAATAAAAAAATAAAATAAGCTCTTTCATTCTAATTGAAAGCATGTGGTAAAGCATGAGGTCCTGGGAACCTCCAGTCTCCTCAGTATAGAGCTCCAGCCTTGCTGAATTGTGCCAAAAGGTCTCATTGGCTTGGATAAAAATCAGAGAAGCATTCACACTTCCATATAAGCCTACATACCCACAGTTTAGTGCTCATAAATCCCACTGAGGGGGTATAAAGTTCAAATATTGACTAGATCTGCACACTGACAAAACCTGACATTGGCTTCAAAAGAACTCCATCAGCATAACTAGACAAAGACTTAACCAGTCTTAAAGCTGAGAGGAGCCTGAGGCACAACATTTACATCCAGACTTGGACCCAAAGTATATGTTTAATTTTTTTCCCATTATATAGGTATAAGAACCCCCCATTCTCTTGGTCAGATCAAGGCTCCCTGTCCCCAGTACTATAACAACCCAAGCTATAACAATAACAGTAAGAAAGCCCTTCCTTATTAGGTGCTAGAAACTACTGTGTATTTAATGCAATGCTTCACACAGCCATAGGCACAAAAGTCAGTAAATGCACAAGTCAAAAGTTCCCGGCTGTAATGCTGACTCTGCTGCACTGCACATTTCAAAAGCTGTATGGAGGAAAACCAGCTAAGCCACAGATTTGACTGGGAAGCCAGGCATAGCAGTTACTGCGTCTTTGTGACGCCCCGGAGACAATGCCTCTGACTGGACCTTCCCTGAGTCCTTCTGCTCAAGGTTCAGGACTGTAATGACATTATTAACATGTGCTTGATCAGATGGCATCCAAAGACAGCCCTCCAACGACAGCCTGAACAAAAACAGTTGGTACGTTATTATTTTTCATTATTTTATTATTTCTCATGGGAGCCACTGAGGCCAGAGCCAGATCATGGGTGGACCTGTCCCTGCCAAGCACTGCAGGGCACAGGCTCTGGGGAGAAGGGCTCCAAGCTTGCACCCACCTCAGGAACACACTGCTACTGAGCCAGTCAGTCAGGGCAGTGCTGCCCTTCTGCCTCCTGACTTGCTGAGGGAGGTAAAGAAGAAGTCCTTTTGTGTGTCCCTTCTCTTGTCTTTTGGCCAACCCAAATGCAGATGTACACAAAGTCTCAGTGATCACTTGGAAGGGTCCAAACAGAATAATTCTTCTCAGCCAAAGGAGCTTCTCCAAAACAGCAGGGAAAAATTGACTTTATGGGTTTTTTTTGAGCAGGCACTCATAACATGGGTACATTGGTCACGATGTGTCACACTCCAAGCCCTTGTACTGACTTTCAAGACCCTCAAGTTGTTGGGCGGAGCTCATGGCAGAGGCCCTAAACCTACAGCAGTGTTCATGAAACCATGGAATTGCAAAGAGAACAGGTGAATTCTACAGAGTGAAAGCTTTGTCCATAACAGTCACAGAGTTATGGTATTCTCTCCTCAAGACTTGGGAGAGGAAGAGCCTTCCAGAAAGGAAAAAACTTGGGAAGCATTCCTTTCAGTGCATGCAACACCTACTTCCTATGCAGGCTAAATGCAGAGGGGGAAAAAAAAAGAAAAAAAAAAAGTACTAAATTTCCTTAATATCCTTCCAAGAAAAGTCCAAGTGACACATCAAAAAAAGAGGACCTTCCTATCTCTGAGTAAGTCCTGATTATCTGGAACTGCAGTAGGGAACTCAGATCATATGATGATGAGAATGCTAAAAAAAAGGGAAAGACAAATTACTTCAGGCCTCATGTCCATTTCCAGAAAATCAGGCTTTAACATCTTTATGGTAGAAGCTATGCATACATGGCATATTAAAATTTCCTTCTTGGTAGAGGTCTTGGAACAAATGACAAGCAACCAGCAAAAATGAAAGGCAGATCCACGTCCACCTCAGACCTATCTGGGTGAGAGAAGAGAAAACACTGAACTCTACGCAACCCAAAAAAAGAATTAATTGAACAGAAAACATATTTGATCACGACAGCCACATGACAAGATTTGTCTAAAGGTTAGCAGTCTTTCATGGAGACAAGCCTCATATGATGGCGCCTGGCTGCCAAAATATGGGGTCCACGCACAAAGAATGCTTTATTAGATACTTTTTAAAACCTCAGTATTAAGAATAAGAAAACCAACTAAAAACGTAGATACTGATGTTTGTTGTGACTAATTTGACCTCTTGAAAGTAAGACCTATTAAATCACACCATTTTTTGGCTGAGTTTTAAGTTTCCTTGGAGTAAATTAGGTCAAGAGGCCTCAGGCAAGTAAGCACACCCCCTATACAGAAGAAGAAAAGAAGGCTAGATCCATCTGTTCAGGATCCACCTATTTTGTTGGTAAGCAAAAAACAGGGGCCTGAGGGGAACAATCTGAAGCAAATGTATAAAATTCAACCCATTTTTAAAAGTGGGTGAAAACTACACAGCAGAGACAACCTATAGATTGCACATAGGCAATATACACTGAGCTCTGCCAGCATCTCTTACTGCAGCCCTGCATTTTTACTTGGTTTTCCAGCCCTGGGCTTCTCACATATCTCTGCCAGTGCCCTTCACTCATCATGTACAAGATTCTCTGCCATACCAGATCTTTGGCTCATAGGAAGAGAAACAGTCAGTTATGCCAACATTTGTGGCAGTTTTGTGATGCCAAAAAAAAAATCCCATAGAGGACACTTTTCACTTGCAACTGAAAATTACAGACCTTGACCTCAGATCCCTGGAGGTGAAGGGACTACATCGACTTCCTGCAAATCAAGCCCCTAAATGCAGCACTTGTATGCAACTGGAGCACAATAAATGTTTTCTTTGAGCAGGACCTGTAGCTCTGGCATTCCTGAGCAGCTCTGATCTCCTACAAAGCTTAGCCTTTTGGGCTTTTGGGGGTGGTGAGGTTAGAGCAACAGTGAGCAGCTCTCTTCTGCTTCCAGGAGTTTCTGAGCTGGTAGGATTATTTCAGATGTGGCTCCTGATGAACTGAGGCTGGGATCAACCCTAAATGCAGGAAGGTACAGGATCTGGCATGTGCTTTACAACAGGTCTCTATCAGAGTCACAGGGCATGTAAATCACAGGGGTGGGTGTTTCCCAAAGGAAGATCAGATGTGGATGGGGATTTGCAGCAGGGGCTGTACGTGCAGGCACAGAAAGGAGATGGGGGCAGGGAGTCCAATCTTGACACTCCTATAATTAACACTGTGCTGGAAGCTTAGGAGTCTTAGAAGCTGGAAGGGGCAGCTGGTGTCACACAGACCCCGCTTGTTCTGCCAGACAGCCAAACTGTCCTCATTTAAAACTACAATAGAAACCAGATGGAGGAGGACGAGAGAGCATGGAGCAAGGCATCAGTCAGAAGGGAAATTGAGTTATAAACATTCTGCACACAAAAGACAATACTTCTCTTCCCCTAGACAAAAATAAACCAAGAAGGGCAGTCGCAGTAACTCGTTCCACTCTCTCTGGGTATCACCTCCAAGTCCAGTGTACACAGACATGCACCTTCACCAGAGTCTTTTCCAAGACAACAGCCCATGCCACCTCTACACTTCTCTGCTACTCTCGCTGGGTCAGACACCACTTCTCTCTTTCTGATCCCCCCAGCTTCCAGTGGCAGCAGTGGGCACTGAAATTCCTACCTCCCAGCACTGCTGGGTCTCCCTTCTCCTGTCTCTTCCCAGCCATGGTGCTGCCACCCACCAGCAAGCAAGGTGCCCATTCTTTGCCGGCCTGACAGAGGTTTCATCAGTCACTGGACTGAGCATTTTGGATCCCCAAGCAGCCCAAGCTGGAGAGGTCACTAAGAAAAGAGAGAGTGATCCCCTCCAGTGGGAGGATGGCCTCCTGGCCTCCCACCAAAGCCAGCAAAGAGCAAGGAAGATGCTGGTCCAGCAGGAAATGCAAGCAATATCCTGTGACTTTCAGTGCCACCTTCCAGAAGAAACTCTGAGTCTCCATGGGCTACAGAGGGACCCCAGGGAGGAGCTTGCTGTGTCAGACACCCTACCCAGTCAGTGTGAATAGTGCCCAGTCAGACAGTAGCTAACCTGGACTGGGCCATGTGCTCAGGGTACACTGCACTGAACTGGACTGCATAGAAGCACACTGAATTTTCTACTTTATCCTTCTGTTATTTTCTCAGACTACTCCTTGTAAGGATAAGCACTGGCAACAGACATGCTCAGGGCCTCCTTGGTAGCTGGTTTCTGCCACATTGCAGAGGTTTTATGTCCTCTCTAATTTTATTTTAATTTTAGTTCAGCTATTGGGAGGATAAATGCAGACCTTTCATTTCACCTGGAACAACAACTTTTTGATTTTTGACTTGCAGGAAATAGTTTGGATTTTTTTCCATTTCTCCCCACTATGAATCCTGCACCAAAAAAAAGAAAAAAATAAGTTGGAGACATTTTTATTTCATCATTTTGGTTTACATAAGTATTTTTTAAAATTGTCTTCATTTACCCTCATTAGCAGCGCAAGCTTCCTATCATGCTATGTCAATACCATGACAATAAAGGTCAAAGGTCTCCCGTTTCAATTTAAATGACTACAATAGGAAATACTTCCTTTTAAAAAGTATTTCAGTCTGTACTAAGTGAGAGTTGTTATTTTGTACAAAAAAAAATAATGAAACAGAACAAACTAATATATTCACTTGGCCTCCTAATCACAGGAAAGGAACAACACTGTACAAATGGCAACATACTTG